GCATGTGGGATCTTCCCGGACCGGGGCACGAACCTGTGTCCCCTGCATCGGCAGGCGGACTCTCAACCACTGCGCCACCAGGGAAGCCCTATACTGGATTTTTTACATACAGTATTATTTCATAAGACCTTCGAACTTTGTGGAATATAGATAAGAAAATAGCACAGAAGTATGGCTATTTGGTCACAGTAAGACTGCCACTGAGAACATAATGGGGACACCCGGGCTGGATGGACTCCATTGTGAAGAGGTACCTTACCAGGAAAGTTAAATTTTGGACCTGGTGACAAAGTATTAAAAAAGAATTAAGGAGATAGTACAGCTGCAAATAACTGGCAAAGATCAAGAGCTAAAATAAAAGACAGAAAGAAACAAGGAAGACACTCCTGAGCCAGGCTGCATCACAGAGATTCTAGCATTCTGTATGTTTCTGTATTTTGTTTACGGTAGAAGTTAAAAAATGCCTGTAGATTGAATTGTGAGGACATTAAAAATCCAATCAATAGACAAATCCACTTAAAACAGCATTTTGAAGGATAGTTTTATTCTGAGATTCTTAGATCTATGTCCAGAATCCAGGTAAAAACCATCAAATGAGATAATGTACGTAAAATCCCTAATACAACCCCTGCCACACAGCACACCTAGCTTTTCTCTTCTATCTTCCCTCTCTTGGTTTACTTCTGCAGATAATAGTTGATTATCAGCATCACCAAAGAAATCTAAATATACTTTTTACCTGTTATCCAGAATTTCTGTTATCCAAAATTTTCTAAGAGAAATGATGTTTTGCTTACAAGTTTTCCAGATTCCCTCTGGAAGGGAAAAAGAAAAAAGAAGGTCATAAGTTTCCTCCCACAGAAAACAATAAATCACTAGAACGCCATTTTCAGGGAGAAACAGTTTTCTATGTACCATAGGAATCAATCAGCATGAGATGGAAACAGGCTTGAGTTTGAATATCACTGTTCTCTCCTCCTATACGTGGTAGGAGAAACTACCTAACAGTGACTCAAAGAGTCTTAGGTCACTGTAGTCTAAGAAAATATGACAGGAAGATGAGTCATTGGTGAAAATCTGAAGCAGATGAACTCTGGCACCTATAGGAAAAAGCCAAAGTAGAAAATTTCACCAAATTTAAACTGGGTCACTAAAGGCCTTGCAAAAATCTTCACCCTGTGTGCTCTATTCCTGTTCTATTCTCTGGAGCAGCCAATACCTCTCCCAATAGGATCTGAGCAGCCAACTAGGAGCGAGCTGTTTAGTTTAAACACCCAACAGCTGGCTCTCAGTCACTGGGACACCCATATCCACAGAAGGTGATTTACAGACTCAACTGCTCACAGAAGGAAAACACCTGCATCTGTATTGTGATTAAAAACTATATATATAGGACAAATTATTGCTCATTATCAAGTTCTGCAAACTATGGAATAACTATGGCCAAGAGTCATCCACACTTACTATCATTTAATTTAATAAATGAATGTAAAACAATCCCTGAGTGTTCCAAGTTATTATGTGTTCAAAATAACTTAATAAAAAAGATACATGAAAAAAACTCAGAACAGTTCCTAAAAGGTCAATGAAGAAGAAGAAAAGTTCAGGCATCTGCATAACATGCGAGTACGAAGATTCACATACAGAATCCAACCACACAAAGATCTCACCATAGGACTTCAAGTACAACTCTTATTTCCAGCCCTGATGTCCAACTGAGCTCACCACTTCTCTCACTGCATACACAAGTTATAAAACCACACCACAAGAAGTAAATAATATGCAGTCTTTAAATGGTGATGTAAGCCAGATTTCCAACACAGAACTCAATAATGATTCACGTCCACAAGTCCAGATTCACATTTTCCCAAACGCCATATATATCTAAAGCATTTCCCTTAAAGCCTGAAATTCTATTTGTTCCAATAAGCCAAAACCATGAAAGTGCAATTGTTAATTAGTTAGGAAGCTCATCCTCTACACTGCCGTCCATACCGAAAACAAATGGGTACCTTTTTAATAATTATTGCTATGAAATAATTTCTCAACAGTTCAGGGGGAAATTAGTGACAAACCCTTCAAAGCTTATAAGTTATAAAGCACTCACTTAAACACATCCAGAAATACACACTGCATACTGGTTAAGCTGTAGGCCTAGACAATGATGAACCCTTAGAGCCTGGTTTTCCGTGGGTACTTATAAGTGCCACAGCACCCTATACCTGAACCCTGAGTATAAATGATGTGTAAGGTAATGTAGCTTCAGCATCTCATAAAATGGGTGACGGGCGATTTTCTTTCTAAAATAACCATGGGCTTCCTAATCAAATGGCAGCATCACCACTATGGATCTACTGAGCTGTCAGTAGGTTTTTCTTTGATACTCTTCCCTTTCCAAATCCCTTTCTTCTCCTTGTAAGCATTAAGAGAAAGGCTTAAGTATCAGAGTAGACTCCTCCAATTTGGGGGGTGGGGTGGAAAGGGGAAGAGGGAGAGAGGGTGTGAGAGAGGAGAAAAAACTGAATGAGTAGAATGGTGGGTTCTGGAATTGACATTTCTAAGCAAAAACGTGTCACTGCCAAGTGTGGTCTTGCTGTGTTCTTGCTCCACTAAAATTCCCTTTTCTCAGAAACATTTTTTCGCTCTCCTACCAGAAGCCTAAGATTCAGAACACAGTCTTCTCTGAGTTCCCTGTTTCAGCACACAGACTTGGTTATAGAGTAGGGAGTGAGAGCATGCAAAATTAACCTGTGAACAGCTCTCGTGAAAAAAATAAAAATCATTTCCATACTCTATGAATGGAAAATATGGGAGCATGTGATGAGTGGTGGTGAGAGGTGGGGGGATGCCAAACACTTAAATATTTTTTGCCAATTAGGAAAGCCAACTGATTTAAATGTATTTTGACACTTAATGTCTTCTTGAATATATTCCTTTATACTTTGGTTGAATTTATCTATAGACAAATTCTAGGAAGTGCTATTATCAGGACACAAGAAATGTAAGTCTGCGTGGTTTTTGCTGTACTGTCATTTGACTTTCTAGAAAGGTCTTAGCAGTTTACAATGCCTGGCAATGAATGAGTACAATTTTACCTCAACCTCATCAGCACTGTCTGTTATGCTACTTTGCTAGGTATAAAATGGTATTTCAAAATTATGTCAATTTGTATGTTTTTAATACAGCAGGATACCCTTCCCCTATATTCCTCCTTCTTTGTGAACTATTCTATCCTTTTGCCCATTTATCTGCAGAATGTATTCTTAATACAGTACAGAAATCAATCATTTGACATTTAATAGGATTCTCAATTCTCTCTCCACCCCCCAACATACTGAAGAAAATCATGTTTGCTTTTATAACATTTACTGGACAGAAATCAAATGTGCTATTTTTAGTCTGTTTTCCAAATAACTTTCAAATCTACCTTGTCTTACACTAGAAAATAGAATTTAAAAAATTATTTGGTATCAACACGGTAATAAATTAAGTAATCCCCTCCCAAATTATTTATATTTGAAGAGTTTTCTATCAGCTACATCCTAACAGGATCAAGTCAAAGTTTACTGTATGTCTAAAACTCAGGATCTTTGAAGATTAAATATAAAAGCTCATTATTTGGATTATCTCTGGAGGTGGATTATATGATTAGATCTATTTTAAAGATGAAGAAATGAGGTCCAGAAAGTTTATAAAATTTGTCCGAGATCATCCAGGTATTAAGAGGTGAAACTAGAATCTGAAGTCAGCCAGTCTTGTTCTAGTCTCAGCTTTTAACTACTAGTAAAGAATTACATTCCAGATGAGGTGGAACTATGTACAGGCCCCATGTGAATAAAGAGGAGGGCACCTCGCCCCAATCTTTGGAATCGGAATTAAACTAAATAATAAACTCACAAAGATTAAAGGTGGGGGGTTAGTTCTGCTGCCAAAAGAAAGTGGAAAAAAAACAATCAAAGGGGGAAATTTCAGGGTTTAAGATCTTACACATAGAATGAATTGAAAGTTAAAACAAAACAAAACCCCCCAAAACAACAAAACATAAAACCCAAAAAGAACTCCAAGGTTGTTTCTTGGCAGTTGGAAGGGAAGAATAAACTAGAAAAATGGTATCTTCAACAAAAATGTTTTTTCACTAAGAAGGATAACTTCTTTGGGCATTGAGAAAAGTGACACAGAAGGTGGTAAATTTAGTTCAGGGGTGAAAATGCTTGTAAAAGGGTAGATACAAAGATGGTATACATATGAAGTGCTCAGAGCTGTGTCTGGTCTCAAGGCAAGCACCATTATTACCATTACTACCAGTGTTGCTGCAACTTTTTGTCTTACAACCTCAACTGTACTGGGAGCCCCTAGATGTTAGACACATCTTTTATCTCTGCTTCCCTAGCATCTAGCCCGATGATTGGCCATTTTTTAAAAAAATTAATTACCTTATTTATTTATTTTTGCCTGTGTTGGGTCTTCACTGCTGCACGCAGGCTTTCTCTAGTTGCCATGAGCCGGGGCTACTCTTCATTGCGGTGCGCGGGCTTCTCATTGAGGTGGCTTCTCTAGTTGCGGAGCACAGGCTCTAGGCGCACGGGCTTCAGTAGTTGTGGCACGTGGGCTCAGTAGTTGTGGTTCACGGGCTTAGTTGCTCCGCAGCATGTGGGATCTTCTCGGACCAGGGCTTGAACCCGAGTCCCCTGCATTGGCAGGGGGATTCTTAACCACTGTGCCACCAGAGAAGTCCCTGATTGGCCATTTTAAGTGCTAAATAAACATTTGACAAACAAATGAATAAACGCATTCCTATCAGATTTGCCTTACATTTTTCACTGCAATCTCTTCTCTCTCTCTATTTTTTTCCTCCTAGATTCCCACTGCATCAGCCTGTCCAAAAATGGAATAAGCAGCCTCATGAAGCAGTGAACCCTGGTATAAATGCAGCAGGGAGGGTAAAGGGATATAAAGGGAGGTGTCTGTACTTCACTGAAATCTATAAAATGCGACACCAATGATGGCAATACCTTATGTATGTACAGTGTAATACCTAAAACAACCACTAAAAAAGCACACAGAGGGACTTCCCTGGTGGTGCAGTGGTTAAGAATCTGCCTGTCAATGCAGGGGATATGGGTTCAAGCCCTGATTGGGGAAGACCCCACATGCCACAGAGCAACTAAGCCCATGCACCACGACTACTGAGCCTGCGCTCTAGAGCCCACGAGCCACAACTACTGAAGCCCACATGCCTAGAGCCCGTGCCGTGCAACAAGAGAAGCCACCGCACCACAACGAAGAGTAGCCCCTGCTCGCCACAACTACAGAAAGCCCGCGCGCAGCAACGAAGACCCAATGCAGCCAAAAATAAATAAATAAATTTAAAAAAAGAAAAGAAAAGAATAACCATACCTAGTGTTGGTGAGGATACGGAGAAACTGGTACTCTCATACAAGTAGGAATGTAAAATAGTATAATCACTTTGGAAAATAGTCTGGCAGTTTCTCAGAAGTTAAACATATACCAACTATATGATCCAGCCATTCTGCTCCTAGGCAAGAAGTGAAACCGTATGTCTATAAAATGACTTGCACATAAATGTTAACAATTTTATCTGTAATAGGCAAAACCTGGAAACAACACAAATGCCCATCAGCAGGTTGATGAGTAAACAAATTGTGGTACACTCATACAGTGGTATACTACTCAGCAATAAACTATTGATATGCATAGCATGGAGGAATCTCAAAATAATTAGACCAAATGAAAGAAGTCAGGCAAAAAAAAAAGGCACACACTGTATGATTCCATTTATATAAGATTCTAGAAA